GCAGGAGGATCGCTGTGAGTTTGAGGCCAGCCTGGGCTACATAGTCTAAGCCCAGTTAGATATACAGTGAGACTGTCTCAAAAATATAAAAATTTTAAAATTGTTCTTTTAATAAAAACTGCAGCTTCAGAACACAAACCCAGGAAAAATGCTTAAGGGCTTTGAAGACCATAAGCCAGAAACTGGGCTCTGGGCTTGGGCCTTTTGCCTGTAAATTGTGCTCCCTCTGCCAGCCCCATCCCGGGGACTCCCCTATTTCAGACACCCTAGAGTCCCCCTAAACAGAACCAGTTTTGGGCAACAAGACACCTCTCTCCCTCTTTCTTTGTCTGTACTTTTAACATTCTGCTAATAACCCTCTTCCTGCCCTTTCTGAGGAGTCAGGAAAGCCGGCAGCCCGTGCCCCTTGGATGGGGTGATGAGTCCTTGTCCTCTGCTCTGGGACCGCGGTGACGTGGCCCAAGATGGGCAGAGTAAGCAGGCAGCCGGCAAATGTTTGTCGTAGGGATAAACCAGGAATCTGTGGGTGACCCACGTCGGATGACGTCGGGTGACGTATGACGCAAGCAAGCGTGCCCCCCCACAACTCGTTGACAACCCCAGGAAGACGCAGCTGGGCGTTAAGGATGCCAGCGCTGTCTGCCACGTCTGGCCATTTGCAGAGAACTGTGTCACCCTGGGGCCCCTACGGGTAACACACCAGGGGACCCGCCTTCCCTGTGGCCCGGGAGACCCTAGGTGCTGGGAGGAGCAGAGTCTGGGTCCCCGCTTCCTCTCAGGGCTGCCTGCTGTGCCTGCTCCTGACACTCAGTGGCAGAGCGAATCCATCACCTGCTTCCTTCTGATTCTCCTGCCTCCCCTGTTCTGTTCTCCGGTCTTCCTCCAGGGCTTCCCCTTTCTGTGTTGCTAGCACCGCCCCCACGTTCCCCTCCCTACGTCTTTTCTGCCTCCCCACAGCTGTCTCTGCCCACCTGTGCCCTGGGATCAGCCTCACTTCCAGCCTGGCTCACTCGCTGCCCCAGGGGCGCAGGGCTGGGCACCAATTCTGGATTCTGTCCTTTTTTTGTGCAGAAAATGGGCCAATTAGGGCCCCGGGGTTGTTCAGGCAACAGAAGAAGAAGAAAGCAGAAACAGCCCCAGGCACTGGACAGCCAGGGACAAAGACGGGAGGTTCCCAGGTGACAGCCCCTTTGGGCCTTTTCCCAGGCCCCTCGGAGGTGGCTGTGCTACCCCAGGAGTCCCGGGGCCCTGCAGGGTCCCCCGGTCCCTCAGTGCACTTCTTGTCCAGCCACTCACCTCTGGGTACCTGACGGGGAGAGCAGCACAGACCTGCTGGGGTGCAGGGAGCTGGGGAGGCAGGGTGTACACCGGACAGGGCTTTGGAAGGTGACGGAATTATAGCCGACTTCCTGGTAGGAGGTGGAGTCTCATCAGAGGTGGTCATGGTTGCCGTCACCCAGAAGGTTTTATCTCCCTCCTCAGCTCCTCCGTTTGCTTTCTGCTTCTCGGCCGCGCCGCGAGCTGTTCTCCTTCGCAGGCCCCTCCGCCATGGAGCCAGCTGCCTATGGACTAAAACCTCCACAAACTGTGAGCCAAAGTAAACTTTCCCTTCCTCACAGTGTTGTTGTCCCAGCAATGAGGGAAATGACTAAGACAGATCCGAGCTTGGTGTCCTCCTCTGTGGGAGGGCAGTCAGACAGCCAGGCAGTGACACACGGCAGATGGCTGCTCAAGTGGGCTGTGGACTCGGCATCTTTAGGGCAGAAATGTGAGATGGACTCAAAAGTCCTCGGGAAGGGCTGGGCCTAGAAGTCTCCAGAAAGACTGGATAAAGGGAAGGGCAGGAGGAAAGGGAAAGCAGACATGTGCAGGCCGCGGGCTGCATGTGAGGCTTGAACTCTCTCGGTCTTACTGGCGGATTCACCTCTCCGCTGCCCCCCTCCCCGGCCTCGGTGCTCACGGTGTGGCTCTGCCTTTCTGAAACAGCCCTCTCCCCCCGAACTGCATCTGTTACCATCAGCGCTCCTGGTTTTCCTCTTCCACCACAGCTCACTGGAGCTATGACTCCGCTTCCTCCCAGCCACGGGGATGGGGGGTGGGGGTGGATGAGTGGATGGATGGGCGGATGGATGGGTGGGTGTGTAGTGGGGTTTAAGGGACAGGAAAGACCGCGGGGAAACAGGAGGATTTTATTAGGCTTTAGGTGAACACTGGCTCAAAGGGCTAATGCCCAAAGGGAAGCAAAGAACAGAGGGGAAGCTCCAGTCGTTACACATTTGGTCAAAGTGTTGGTCTTTTCAGTGATGTCAGATGAGCTTATAGAAACGGGGCACGGGCAGACAGTTTTGTAATTTAGCCTAGAAAGAAGACCGAGCCCTGTGAAGCAGATGAAGACAGTGTCATAAGCATTGTCTACGGGACATAGTTGTCAATTTTATTTGTATCCAAACGAGGAGTTCCGGGGGCGGGGGTTTGAGGAAGGTGGAACTGCCCAAGGCTGGGAAGAACTTGTTTTTCTTAAGTCCTGCTTCAGGTGGGTGGATGGATGGACGGATGGATAGACGGATGGATGGACGGGTAGATGAGTGAATGGATGGGCTGGTGGATGGATGGGTGCATGGATGGACCGGTTGGTGGGTGGGTGAGTAGGCTGGATTAGATGATGGATGAATATGTAATTGGGCAAGTGGATGTAGTGATTGGTCAAATCACTGTCAAAGAGGAGCCCGTCCAGGAAGTCTGGCTAGGGCTGGGAATATAGCTCAGCAGCCCAGCACCTGCCTAGCAAGTGTGAGGTCCTGGGTTCGATTCCCAGTACCAAAAAATAAAAAAAATCTGACTAATGGGCAATAAATGTTGTGCTGCCATATTTGGTGCACCTCAAATTCTGACTAAATGTTCTTCGTTCACCTGGCATTAACTATCACCCGGCGCACATCAGACATCACAGAAGACCCTGAGGACCGCGCAGTGAGCAAACATACACGGTCCCTGCCCTCTTGGAGCAAAGGAGACAGAGAAGCAGGCACGGCTAAGGTCATGCGGTGGGCCAGAAGGCACTCACATCGCTCTTTGGGGGGCAGCAGGGAGGGCCTCCTGGGGGCAGGGACACACTTGCACAGAGAGGCTGACGAGGAGGGGCAGGGCAGGTGAGCGAGCCAGGCAGAGCGTGTGCAAAGGCCAGGAGGCAGGGCACAAGGCAGTTTCATCTGGAAACTGGAGAGGTTCAATGAGATGGGGCAGGGAGGCCTCACAGGGGCAAAAAAGAAAAAGGAGCCGATCCTCGGGGAGGCCAGGCGCTACGCATGCGCTCGGGAAGGCTTCCGGGCGATGACGTCAGTCGGCCTTTCTTCGGTGAGGGTAGGGGTTCTTCCTGACCTCCCGGTAAACAACACTGTGCTAAATTTATGATTCAGCTGGAAATTAAAAAGCAGGAACTCTCGTACTGCTTTTCTTGGCGATAAAAACCAAGAGAATTAAAAACGGAATTAACCTCTTACCCCCAGCTTTCAAGTTTCTCACTGACCATGCCGAAGTTGTTCTATTTCGAGCTCATCTAAAAACGAATCCGTTTCATATTTATATGCCAAAAGGCTAAAAGGTTCAGGAGCCAAAGCTCATGCCAGATAAAATAATCCCATCTCCATTGAAGAAACATAGCCAGAATGCTGAAGTTCATTCTTTTGGTTAAACAAGACATTTTCTGGCCTAGACCCATTTCAGAAACACTTTTCGGGTGTTTGCGGTAGCTGTGATGCTGAAGAAAGTAGCGTTCACCTGTGGAGTAAGTGGCCATGTCAAATACTTTAGGAAAATAAAATTTCAGTCTGTGAGCATATGTGTGACCAGTCCTCCCGAATGCCAGGCCAATACTCCGCCCTGAACTACAGCCCTGGCCCTTTTTATATTTTTTGAGGCCGGGTGTTGCTGTTGCCCAAGTTGGGCTCCAACTTGCAGTACTCCTGTCTCAGCCCCCTGAGTGAGCGGCTGGGATGACAGGCAGGGTGAGGCCACCACGGCCAGCTGTGGAAATATCATTTAAAAACCGGCATCAGTGCAGCCACAAGAGTAAAAAGAAAGAAAATCCCTGCAGGAAGGTGTAGTGGCGCGATCACGCTGGAAAGGAAATCTACAACTCTCTGCTCTGGAATAGGGTGTGCCTCGCCGGATGAGCAGGTTCGGGTGGAAGGGAGAGGGGTGGGGAGAGGAGCGGCCGGGGCAGGGCGGCCTCATCCCTGGCTGGTCTCTGGGGACAGACTCCTCAGGAGAAGGTGGTCTTCCTGAAGAGTGAGAAGCTGCTGTCACTAGGGAACCAGAGAGCTCATGTCCCAGGCGGAAGGGACATCATCCTGCAAGTGCCAAGGCCCAGAGGCAGGAACAGACTTCACCAAAATGAAAACAAGCAAGCGGGGGAGAATCCCACCTTGTCCTGCTCTGGAAACCCAGCCTGTCACGTGTTCCTCCCCTACCCCATGGCCGCCCCCTTCTTCTCCCTGCGGTAGAAGGGGCGCGGGGGTCCCCAGGCTGCCCACTGCCCCCGCCCCCACCCACTGCCCTGCTGAAGGTGCCCAGGGCTTGAGCAAACGGAGGAACTCTGTGCGTTTCTCAAAACCCAACCATTTATGGCAATTTTATCTCTAAGCCAACAGTCGAACTGCCCCGCCGCCCCCGGAGGACCTGGGGGCTGAGGTCAGCAGTCGGGTGGTGGACAGGACCCCGAGTCCCTGTGCTGCCCTCTCCTCCCCAGAGGCCCTGTCCCCAGCCTGGGACCCAGCCCTGTGCTCAGGACTCCGCTCTTCCGCCCCAGGGACCAGGAACCAGCCCGGGTCCGCTGCTGCAGCCAGTGGGAATGTGGCTGCTGCTTTCTTTCCTTTTGTATTACTTTTTATTTTTACTTTTTATAGTGAAACAGACATCTAAAATGCTGTATTAACATATGCACGTTTGGAAGAATCTGTTGACTCATAAAAGAAGAAACAAATGATGGCTCGCAGCTCACCCTGCGGGCCCGGAAATGTTACTGCTGCCTGCAAAGCCCGAGTCCCCTGCCCGTGTCCCCTGCCCGGCTCAGCCCTGGGGCCGCTGTCCTGCAGTCGGGCTGCTGCCCGCAGTCCCGGGGACACCTGCAGGAAGGAAGGGTCGGAGACGCCCAGCCCAGGGAGTGCTCAGCGTTGTCCCTGAAGGGATCTGGCGAGGCGCCCGGGGTCCAGGTCGGTGCTGGTCGGTGTGTCTTGTGGCGCAGGCCCTGTCCAATTGTCACAGCGGGCGTGGGATACATCCACGAGGACCAGGCAGAGCTCTGGGCCCCCACTGCCTCCCACTGCCGCCCTCATGTCTGTGTCCCTGCACCCCGAGCCCCAGCAACCCTGTGGGAGGCCTCGTGTGTTCTGGGTGCTGGTGCGTGGGTGTGAGAGGTGGGGTTGGTGTTTCTCGGGGAGCAACAGGGCGATATTTAAAGGGTTTCAGGCGGAGCCACGCTGAGGAGCGGAGAACCTGGCAGAGACAGAGAGGGGACTGTGGTAAGGACTCCTGAGCACCCCTGCTTTCCAGCCAACAAGGGTGGGATCTGGGCCCTAAGTGGCTTGGGAGCCCGACATGGTAAGGGAGGCTGAGGCAGGAGGATCATGGGGGATGCCCCAGCAGCCCACTGTGAGGCTCCCAGCAAGGCCACCTCTCTGAGCCTCAGCCCCTCCCTGCCCAAAGGGACTGACGGTGTCAGGGTCCCAGGAACATGGTGAGGTCCAGGTGCCGTCAACTGACCAGCAGATGGCTGGTCCTGTCCCTGGCGCTCAATGGCAGAACGTCCTGGTCCCCACCTGTGGGGAGCAAGAGGTGCTCAGAAGCTGTGCTGTGACTTCGCTGCCCCGGGTGCTCAGCGGGAGCACAAGCCTGCAGGGAGACGCTGGGGACAGAGGTGACACAGGCTGAAGGGGGGTGACAGGGTGGGCAGGGTGGGAGCAGGATGGAGATTGAGGGACAAAGGGGAGGAGGAAAGGGACTTCCAGTCAGGGACTGCACAGCCCCGGTGGGGAGGGCAGGGCAGGGGGAAGCAGAGGGAGGGAGGACAACGCGAGGAGGCCCTGCAGGGCCGCAGGGAGCCCTGCTGCCTCCGTTCACCTGCCTGCCTCCCCCGGGCTCTGCCATGGCCACCCCTGGGGCTCCACCAGCCACTCTGCCCACTGGGGACGGTGGGAGCTGTGTAGGGCCAGGTCGCCTGCTGCCTCCCCGAGGAGGTGGACAGCTGCCAGCCCTGTGACAGCGTCCCAGCAGGAGGGGGCCGGCAGTGGGGCCGCCCTCTGCCACGGAGGCTGCCCGGGGCCCCTCTGGGCTCTCCCCAGAGCACCCGCACGTTAGCTGAAGTGCTGACCCCGTCACTGTGGCAGTGATGTCCAGCTCTCCCTCATCGTCTGTTTTCCTCTTCTTCCTGATGAATGCCCGTCCAATGTTTGGTTATGTACAGGCTGCTCAGAATAAAAACAACATTTCCCAGCCCCCTTTGCAGTTAGGTGTAGCCACGTGACTTAGTCTGGCCAATGCAATAAAACTACAACTCTGGGGCCATGTCCTTCTCAGCCCCTCAGCTCTCCTCTGGAATGTAGACGTGATGGCTGCAGCTGGGGCAGCCATGTTGAGCCATGAGCTAGAAGTCCCATGTTAATGACAGCAAGCAAATGACAGGAAACCCTGGTCCCTGGTGACCACTGTGCCGTCGCCCCAGCCTAGGAGACTAACTTCTCTTTGTTTACTGGAGAGAAGAATTAATTTGTTTAAGCCACTGATTGTGAGACAGTCAGGGACCACCATGGTGAGACAAAAGGCTGGGACAGTGAAATAAACCACTGGGTACAATAAACCACCAGCCATTACAGCATGGCAGGTTTACGCTTGCTTGTAGTAGCCTTGAATGTGGCTCCATTCGGAGCCCCCAGTAGAGTGAGACCCGTAAGTGGCTCTAGGCTGTGCTGTGCTGTAGGTGCTTCTGGGCCAGCAGGATGGTGTCCGGGACAGGACAAAAGCCTTGTCTTCACACGCGTCTGTCCCTTCTGCTGTGCACCTCTGCGTGCAGCTGCATTGGTGCCCATGGGGGCAGGTGTGCCTTTCTCTTTCTCTCTCCCCTCTTTTCTGCCCCTGCTATCATAGGCCCAGACCCATAAGGCCAAGACATTGTGTGCAGAACTATGGTGTCATCTACGTGAAGCTTGAGCAGCCTCAGCTGGGTGTGGTGGTGCACAGCTGTCATCCCAGCACTCTGAGAGGCTGAGACAGGAGGATCTCAAGTTCAAGCCCAGCCTGGGCACCTTTTCGACTTAGTGAGACTCTGTCTTAAAATTAAAAATATAGAAAGCACTGAGGATGTAGCTCAGTGCGAAGACCCTGGGTTCCATCCCCAGTGCTACTGAACAATAATAGTTCAACAGCCTGTAGCATAATCTAACCCTGACCACCTGGTGGCCCACAAACAGTAAGAAACATCTTTTGGAACTGTGCCCTGGCCAGCAGGAACTTTTATTAATTCTCACCCTGGAAGATCGGTAAAATTGCTCCTGCCACTCTTTAGAGGGCAGTGTGGGCCTTCTCAGCTTTGCCTGTGGGATTATGCACTCACAGTGAGTCATCCACGCTGAGTGGGCTGCTGTCCTGCGCTGTGTGACTGGAATGTGCAGTGTGGTCACAGGTGAGCCTGGGTCTCGCCTGATCCATTTGAACGATGAAAGTTTCTCACAGCATCTCTTGAGGACCCTTCCTGTGCTGATATTTTTAGGCTGATATTCAGGGAAGAGGCTCATTGCTGGGGTGAAAAGTCCTACCCAGTGAACTGAGTTCACAGACTAATAAGAATCTGGAAGACAGAAAAGTCATCAACAGCTAAAGGCCCTCGGGATCTCACCAGGAATCCTCTCCAGGTACTGGGCTCCTGTCTGCCCCAGGACCTTTGCACTTGCTGTTCCCTCTGTCTAGAATGCATTTCCTCTAGATTTCTACTCAAGCCTCTGCTCATTTCCAGCTCCTCAGAAAGGCCCACTCCAACCCTGTCAAGCACTGCCACCTACCACACCCTATCACTGTAAAAGTTTTTGTTATTGTTGCTGTTGGTGGTGGTGGTGATGGTGGTGGTGTGTATTTCTGTGATACTAAGGATTGAGTCCAGAATCTTGGCACTGAGCTATATCCCCTCCCCTGTTTAATTTTTTATTGAAACAGGGTCTCATTAAGTCTTCAAATTACTGGGCTGGGCTCAGATTGGAGATTCTCCTGCCTCAGTCTCCTATAGTGATGGGATGGTAGGCATGAATCACTACAACTGGCTAGTTTAAAAGTCCTTTAGAGTGCCAGATAACAAAAATTCTCTTGTTTATTATTTGATTACCCCCCACCCCTGACTTTTCCCAGTCAAATGCAAACTCCTGGTCTCCACATCTTGGCTATATCTGGTACATATAGGTTTCCAACAGACACTTGGTGAATATATCCGTGGGGGTGGAAGGTCATAAGGGCATGGCTATTTACTGAGCACCTACTATGTGCCCAGCACCACCCTGGATCCTGTAGGCGAATCTCCTCGTGTGCCCCTTTCCATAGTCCTCCCTCTAACTTAAATGAACCTATCCCATCTCTCTTGCCTCTTTCTGAAGTAGCTCTAGAGTCTTCTTTCCTGGACATCTTTAGGAGGTGTGAACAAAAATGTGGCAAAGCTGTTACCGAGTGCCGCCCAAAGGGAAGGAGGCTCACGAAAACATGACACTGTGTCCTCATCCACCTTGCTCACTGGAGCTGGCGCTGTGTGACCCTTGGCTCTTCCGCAAAGTCAAAGTGACCATGACAGGGAAACGTTTTGGATCGACGCAGGACATCAGGGCAGCCGCAACAGTGCAAGTAGACACTGATGGAAGAGGGCTTCCAGAGCTGCTGTGGAAAAGGCAGGGAGGATGGGAGCAGCATCCAGTGACTAAATCAAGGGGGAAGGTCCTGAAGTGAATTCATGGCAATGAGTCTTTCAATGTAATGCATATTTTAAAATATGTAAACACTCACCATAGTTTTCGATCATGCCTGTACACGGAAAACATCTTTGCCCCGATCCTGTGGGCAGCCCCAGACCCCCACGGCCACACCCTGCTATTTTAACACCTCAACAGCTCACAGACAAGAAGCCCCTCCTCTGTCCCCAGCGCCGCCCTCTGCTGGCCACATGACCTAAAACAACCCTGTCCCCTGGCTGCCCTCAGTTTCCTTGTAAACAGAAAAGGCCTCCCCCAGCTCTGAGATGCTAAGGTTCCTTTGGGAAAGGGAAACTAAGACTAAGTGCCACTGTGTCACAAGCATTTTTCACACACCGGCCGCCGGCTCAGCACCTCCACGTAGACTGCCCATTCCTGCCCTCTCAGCAGCCCCATTCAGCAGGCGAGGCTCCAGGTGGAGGGTGACCCCCAAGCTCACATGGAGGCGGTGGGATTCGAACCCAGCTGTCTGCCTGTGCTCAAACCACAGGACCCCACTGTGCTCACAGGATCAGGATTGGCTTTCTCCCCGCTTGAAGGCCTCAGAAAGCTTGGCTGGGAGCTGGGGCCACGGCCGGCGTTCCAGGCCCTTCCCCCGCGTCCCGGGGTGGCTCATTGTTGGAGTTAGGAGACTCCTGCGGCGGCGGACGGCGAGGCGGGGCTGCTGATGACAGTTGTGCGAGGAGCCGGGAAGGCAGGGGAAAGAGCTGCACAGATAGCGTCACGTCATCGGCGACGGCGCCAGGGAAATGTCAGCACAGAATGTGCTGGCTGCGTGCAAGAGGAGAAGCCCATCGCGGCCGCCCGCAGCTAAAACCGCCACTTCCAGCGCCGTCTGGCGGGAATTAGTCACTTGACGGCGCCTTTCAGCACCGCGGACAGCTCCCCGGCCTTGCCGTGGGGGGGCACCGGCCTCAGGACCCCAAGCAGAGAGGCAGCCACGGCAGGCAGGGCCCGGCCCCCTCGTCCCCAGGGCCCCATCTGCTCTGGGAGGAGGCTCGCTGGCCCCCGCGGGGCCCCAGCCAGCCCAGGTGGGCCTTGTCATGCAGGCAGCGTTCTGCTGTTCCCGACTCCGCCCCAGACTGCAGGGAAGGAAGGAGGTGGATGAGCGAAGGCCCTGACTGCCCCAGGATAGCTCGGGGTTGGTGGAGGCGCCTTGAGACCAAATGCTTGACAAGGGAGATGAGAAAAATAGCTCACCCTTACGGAGCTCACCCTTACGGAGCTCACCCTTACGGAGTGCTTGCTGCACGCCGGGCCTGTCCCGAGGCCTGTCCTCTTGCACAGGTGAGAACGCTGGGTCGGGTGACCAGTCCAGGGCCATCTGGTGAGGAAGAGGCAGATCTGGGGTTGGCGGCAGTGTCTGTGGTCGGGAACCTCCGGTTTTAACCATCCTGAGACTAGGAGGGGCAGCTCAGCAGGGAGCGTGAGCGGACAGCAGCGAAAGGTTTCCGCGTGACGGAGGGCGATCAGCTCTGTGTTCTGGAGAGCTGTCGGCGCCCTTGGGAACATACGTATGTACGCACGAAATGACTGGTGCTGCAGAACAAACCTGGGGGCAGTTCCACCAAGCTGCACCCCCAGCACATTCTGTGGGTTTGAAAGCATCAACACAGCCTACATGAATTCAACTTTTCAATAAAGTAAAGGCATTGGCTTTTTAAAACATTTCCATCCAAAGGGCAAAGTGAAATTGGAAGCTCTGAATAGTAAGAGGGACCTCAGGTCCACAGACCGCCTAATGGTCCCAAGGATCCTGATGGCTGAGAGCTTGTGTTTGTTTGTTTGTTTGATTTTTGAGACAGGGTCTATGTAGTTGAGACGGACCTAGAACTCACTATGTAGCCCAGGCTGGTCTCAAACCCACAGCGATCCTCCTGCCTCAGCCTCCCTAGTGCTGGGATTACAGGTGTGCACCACCACGCCTGGCCCTGAGAGTTTTTTATATCTTTCCAACCATCCTCCTCCTCATCAGCTCACCTGATCCTACAGTTACCGCCCCCTCAAGGACGACGGGCAGACGGTGGGCGGGGGAGCAAGCCCAGCCTTTCACAACCTGCCCAGAGCCGGGCTGGAGCCCAGGCCTCCTGACTGACTGCCGGGAGCCTCAAGCTTCCTTCCCCCTCCCCAGGCAGGCCACACCCACTACAGGTGCGCCTCACTTGTTGCTGCTGATTGGCTAGTGAGATGGCCCCAAGCAATAGTCCTCTCCTCCATAGGTCCATGGAGTGCTGACACCACAGAGGTTATTTGCATACCCACCAGCCAATCAACAGCTGCCTGCCCTCTACCAGCCAATTCCTTTCTTGGAGGGGCAGAGCCTTTGCATAGTCACAGTGAAGCTGCCTTTTATTGAACCCTTACTATGGGCCTGGCTCGTGAAACATATTCTGCATGTTTTCTCCCATGCCACACACACAATGACCAGGGGAGGGAGGGACTGTTTTTCTTGCTATTTCTCACATGAGGAAACTCCCGAAGTTTAAGCATTTACCAACAGCCATGCAGACAGTGAGTAGCCCAGGCGGAAAGGAGCCCAGGGCTATCTGGTTCCAAACTCTGTGTTCTCCGCCAGCTCCTGCAGCTTCCCCAGGGCACGGTGTGTCTCTGCTAGGGCAGGGGCTGCAGCCCAGAAAGCGGCGTCTCCCCTCCCCTTCCCAGCCTTGTAGCCGGGAGGGTCCCCCGTGTGACCGCCCTCTGGCGGGGAGCTTCCGGTAGCCTCGGGCTCGGCTGAGACGCTGTGACCACGGGAGCTGGCTGCACTATCGGAGAAGGCCACCTGGTCCTCCACCCTGCAAGGCCAAATGTCCAGGAGGACCTGGAGGTGCCAGGTGGACAGATGCACGTGCCAGCTCCCAGTCCAGCCTCCCACGCCAGCCCTGGGCTGGCACAAGCGAAGGGGCCCAGCCAGGCCACTGCGCCTGCCACCCAGCAGCTCCCAGGAGTGTCCCCTCACTGGGCCCTTCCCGTCCCTCTCCCTCCCCGGCCCTTAGGTCCCACTGTCCCTAGCACAACTCGGTCAGCCAGTCCCGCGGGAAGGTGGGCGCCGCGCCGGCCTTGCTGGGCAGACCCGTGTGAGGGAGAAGGCGGAGGGCCGAGCAGGCGGTCCTTTGGCGCCATCTGGTGGTCGATCCATGAATGATTCACAAATGAGGGGCGGGCAGAGCAGGAAGAGGAGCGGGGATGAGAAATAACTGTGCCAGCAGGGACGGCCCTGTGCTTTGACAGACAGACTGACCTTGGTCCTGGACAGGGCTCTGGGCCAGGCACAGCTCCTCGCTGAGCCTCCGTTTCTCTGTAGGTAAAATGCAGAGAAATAACCCCGACCTTAAAGTATGTGTTGTGACTGAAAAACACGGTGAATGTTCAATTTTTAAAAATCATTACAGTGAAAGACACATTTCCACGAATTCCTCTCAAGGCCTCTCCCTCGCTTCGAACAAACCGATCCCACCCTCGATCCCACTTTCTGTTTTGTTTTGTTTTTTGGTGCCTGGGATCGAACTCGGGTCCTCGTGCTTGCAAAGCGGGCACCGGAACCACTGAGCTAAATCCCCGGCCCGGGTTACTCTTTTGCTGGTACCTGGGATGGAACTCAGGACCTTGGGCTTGCGAGGTAGGCGGAGGCCCCACTGAGCTACATCCCGGGCCCTGCGTTCCCGCTTTCTGCCGTACTTTTGCAAACTCTGTCTTTAGTTGCGCTGTCCTAGCTGCCTTGATGTCCTCGGTGGGTTCAGGACATTTATCTTTCGGGGTCATTGTGAGTCGGGGAAGAGCCAGAGGTCTCGAGGTGCCGGGTCTGGTGACTGTAAATGTGTACAAAGCAAGGGGAGGATTTTGAAGGGGATTAATGACAGTGTGCGATTTATAACATAAAAATTGTAAAATTTCAATATTAACTGCCCATTTGGATCACACTCGGCGTTGACTGAGAGGGGCTGGAGAAGGCCCCTGTCTTGGCGGTGGTCACTGTCTTCTGTCCTTACCTGTACCCATGACCCTCGCTGTACACACAGCCGACCGTCTCTCTGCTGGTTCCATGGCCTTAGACCCAGCCGACTACGGATGGAAAACAGTCAAAAGCAATCGCGTCTGTGCTGAAGGTGTCCAGACTTTGTGCTGTGGGACATGAACAGGACTCAACAGGGAAGCAGCGCTGTCTCCCTGGGTTTTGTGGGGACTAAGCGAGATCATGTGACCCGGATGGAGGCCCAGCGCCCCCGAACAATGGCCTGGGCGACAGAGCCGGGAGCTGGGGCTCCTCTACGTAAAGTCATCTTTCGGAGAGGGGCAGGGCTCCTCTGGGGCTGCGCAGCAGAGCTGGGCCCGGAGGCTGGCCTAGGGGGTCCCCGGCCAGCAGTTCCTCCCCAAGCCACAGTGGTGCCGAGCTTCCCGCGTCTGACCCCCGCCCCCCGCCCCTCCGGACGGCCCGGTGCGGCTTTCGTGCGCCATCTGGCGGCCACACCAAGACCTGGCGAATTGGGCCCAGTCCTCGGTCCCTCCCTCTCTTGGGGAGATCTCCCCTGAGGTGGGCAGTCTGAGCCCTCGGCAAAGGCCCTGACTCCAAGCCCTGGGACCCCAGGAACTGACAGAGGCCGCCGGGGACAGAGGCCCTGGGGTTGGGCATCTCTGGTAGGCAGCCTGCACTTTCCAGGTCAGTCGTGGAGCGTAAAGTGTTTCCCGCCGCGCTCTACGCAGCGAAGGAGCTGTGCGCAGCTCAGAGGAGGCAGCCACCACCCTACCATGGGCCACCAGGCAGCCAGGGACACTGAAGGGGGTGACAGAGATGGGGGGCCCGAAACCCTGAGAGTGCCGCCCAGGGGCTGGGGCGAGGTCGGGGCTCCACCCCTCCACCCTCTACGCGACACTGAGACAGAGATGTGGCCAGGCAAAAACAGGAGGGTTTAGGAGTGGAAGGGACCCTTTCTGAGTCAGATTGTTCTAGAGTGGGCAGAACTGCTTCGTCAGGTAGTGAGCTCCCCATCATTGGGGGCATGTAAGCAGAAGCTGATGAAGGGGAAAAGAGGAAAGGGTGGAAAGAGGGAGACACCAGGTGGGGAAGGGCAGGATGTCCGCCGCATCAGGTCCCTTCGCTTTCTGGTCACCAATTTCAGGTGCTCTAAGTCGTGTTCAGGGAGTCTCTCCGCTGGAGGCCATGCCTGGTCAAAGTCGCAGCTCCTCTGGGAGCCGGGGCACAGTGGGGTGTGCAGCGCGGAGATAAAGGGCTCTCAGGAGAAGCCTAAGGTTGGGGGCACCGGGACCCAATAGCTTCTGTAAGGGGTTGGTGATTTCACATCCCAAACCGGCCCACATCGGTGACGGCATTCCTCTAGTTGTCAGCAGATGGCAGCAGAGAGCTCTAAACCACAAGCGTCCTGCAGATCAGCGCGGAAACTGCTGGGTCCTAGCCTGTCAGCCCTGCAGACTCAAGTCCCTTTCTCCATGATGTTGTTTAAACAAACTTTCTTAGGCTGCACTGGGGATTGAATCAACCGCTTTTGCACTGAGCACCACCCTAGCCCCCCCATATATATATATATATATAATTTGTTTTGTACCAGGCAGGAGCTATGCCCCTGAGCTACATCCCTGGCCCTTTATATTTTATTTCCAGACAAGGTCTCCTTGAGTCCCTAACTTATCCAGGGTCCCTAAGTTGTCCAGGCTGGGCTCGAACCTGTCATCCTCCTGCCTCAGCCTCCCAGAGTACCAGGATTACAGGAGGGTGCCCCCATATCTGCCTACATTTCTGATATCAAAAGGTTCTCTTGGAAGCTTCCTCTTGCCCTAACCCCAGACACTCCCACCTATCACCCCTCGCACAGCCTTCAGGCATCCTGGCCTGCTCTCTGCTGTGGGCATAAAAAGCTACAGCCTGGCAAATTCTCAAGGACGAGGAATTTACCTCTCACAGCTCTGGAGGAGGCTGGGGAGCCCACGAGCCAGGCCTCAGAACTAGCAGGTGTCTGCTCCATGGTGGGAGGAGAGGGGGCAAGAGGACATGGAGAGAGAAGGTGACAGCACTCCCTGGTCATTTCCCGAGTTCTAAGCGCTGTGTGGGGTGCAGGGGCTCTCCCTGACTGCGTCTCTAGTTTCCACTCCTGTTCTGCATGTTTTGCCTTCTCTGTCCACACCTCTGGTTTAGGGGACACCCATCACCACCGCACCCCACCCAACGTTGCCGCTGACACCAGAACTCCTTTCACAGCAGAGGGTGATGAGGACCCACGAAAAGCCCTGGTCTTACCTGTGTCCCTCCCACACAGGTGGCAGGGCTGCGGAAGGGAACCAGCCACCGGGGCCTTGCTGGGGTCCTCACGACCCGAGGGACAGCACCACCAGATGCCAAGGTCCGGCTCATGAGTTGCGAGAGTGTCATGGGCCTGTGACAGTGAACTTCACGCTTCTCTCCTGCACAGATGCAGGGCTAGGGGCCAGGAGCAGGTGGCTTCCCACGCCATTAGCCTCACGGTCACTTGCACTTTTAAGCCACCTGCTCTCTGCCTATTTGGAGTCCTGGTTCCCATGGAGACAGGTGGCGCGGCCCCAGGGTGATTCCTTGGTCGATGAGTTTGGATTTGCCTGCCTCCAGCCTCCAAATTAAAGAGCACAAGAGCTGGTGACTCGGCTGTCCGTTGGGCCTGACCCTGCTTATCAAACAGTCTGCTATAACTGGAGGGCGGTCCTGAAACCCAGGGGGGCTTTCCGGGGACCTGGCTGATGTCTCCGCATCAAGGGATAAAACATGAAAAATTACAGCAAGCAAAAACGAGGCAGGATTGCTGGGAGTTCAGACACTCCGGGAATGAAGATTAGGGTCCCCACAACCAGCCACGGTTTGGGAGGAAGGAAAATGGAAACTGGCATCAGTAGAAGAAAAGAATCAGAAAAATCACCGGGGTTGGCAACCGGAAACAGAAGGAAGCAAAGACTGTCCTTTTCCTCTTGCCCGTTATGTGTGTGAGTACCGTCATCGCATGTGTCACCGATTTCTTGTTCACTCTGTCCTCCTTCTCCCCTGATTATTTTTAGTAAAGAGCCGGTGGCGCCTTCAGGTTAGGGCAGAGTCAGGGCCGCTG